TGAACTATGCAGTACATTTAGGATGGTTTCTAATCTATTTATAAAGTGATTGAAGTTTCCAGATGGGGCTCTATATAAAGTCAGTATACAAATATTAGAAAAAGGAGAGTCTAACTTTAGAGCACATGCTTCCAGATCCTGGTCTTTGCAATAATCTTCTAAATTTATTTTAGTAAATTTTAGGTTTTCATGTACAAAAATACTCACTCCTCCTTTCTCCAGTGTTTTCCTACAGTATCTAGCACCTAAATTATAATTTTCTAAGTGAAGATGTTCTAATTCCAGCTGTTTCATGTGATGTTCAGTAAGGCACAGTATGTGTGGAAGATTTGAATTCATGGAGCTTATTAGTTCATTTGTTTTGTTTCTCAATCCTCTTATATTCTGATGGAATATTCTTAGTACTTTATTATTCATTGAATTTAGTACACTGCAATTACCTTTTCCGATTTCTATTGGTTCGCTTACATTATTGTGTGAAAGATTAGTTTCTTTTGCAATTTCTTTTACATAATTCCCTTTGCCAGAACAGAGTTCAAGTTAGGCATGAATATCATTTGTTTTGGTGCTGAATGCATGCCTGGCTCCAAATTTATTTGAATCAGTTGAGTGCGTGCACTTATGAGACACATGGATCCAAGAGACACAGCAGAGACATCTGTGTACATACATGTCCCAAGAGATATAACAGAGTTAAGACCTGCCTGCAGACTCTCCAGTGAAACACAGTGTGCCCTTAATAAGAGTTCCATTGTAAATGAAGTACTAGATAGACAGTATTAGGAAATAAATTCTTAAGGGTTCTGACTGTGATGTGTTACATTCAGAATTGATGAATTTCTGGACTCTTTTCATTGTCTAATATTGCAAACAGTCACAACTGGATTCGTATATGTTTTTTATTTTATTCTTTTTTTATTTTGGTGTGATGGTTTTATAATCGATTTCATTCTCTGTCTTAGTTTTAGGTCTTCATATACATTTCCACATTTTATATTGTGAATTTTCTTATTGTCTCCTATTGGAATAACCTGATACCACTTGCATGTATAGATGTAGTTATATTGACACAGGGTGTCCAGCTACTGAAATTAACTGCATTGTTCTATTAGAAAATTAGATGATGGAAAAGGCTGAGACAGTAAACATGTTAAAAAAATGTGGGGGGGGCAAAGCTATCCCTGTAACAGGCCATGAAAACCTGTAGGATTGTGAGATGTTGAGGATCCCACATTTTCTAGACAGTCGGCTCATAAATGGCGGTAAGGTTGTCAGCCCTACGTGCCTGCCGCCCTTTACCCCCAAGAATATTCCTGGTACTCATTTCTGTTGGGGGCACACAGTAGCATAGTGGGTTGAGGGGCTATGCTTCAAGCCGGAAGGTCCGGGTTCAAGTCCCAATGAGGTCATTGGATTTTTTTCAGTTGCCCTAATCCTTCCAGCTGCACTAGGCCCTGGGGTTTACTCAGCCTCTAACAGAAATGAGTACCAGGAATTAATTAAATAATTTTCCTGGGGGTAAAGCGCGGCCGGCGCGTAAGGCTGACAACCTTACCGCCATCTGTGAGCCGATTTTCTAGTTAGTGTGGGACTCTCAACGTCCCACAACCCTATGGGCCTTCACGGCCTGGTACAGGGATAGCTTTACTTCTTTTACCCTTTTGTTACTCATTTCTATTAGAGGCCAAGTCAACCCCAGAGCTTTATTGCTGCTGGAAGGATAACATGAGTATCAGAAAATACTGGTAACTTCCACGAAGAAGCATTTCTCATATTTAATGTATTCTCTGATTTTCAGTGTTGTACCCTGCTCTGTGTTTTATGAGGGCGTTGAAGACGGTGAGGAAATAGAAGAGTAAGTACGCATATCGCATGATGACTCTTAAGATAAACAATTAATTACTCTTCATCAGTTGGCATAGAGCACCAATGAGAAAACAGTATATAGAGTCACATAGATGACTATGTCTGTAGTACTTATTTTGTAACATGTTTACAGGGACTCTCCAGATAAGAAAAATTGGAATAATTTCGTGCAGTCAGTCCGGTCAAAACTGACCGTGAAGTCTGTAGTTGACGGCGTCAGGAGTGGAGCAGAGTGTTCATTTGACTACCTGTTGCTTGTTCTAACAGCTGAGTATGTGAAAATAGGATTTACTTTATAAGATGGATGTAACTAATATAATGTTCAGTTCATTTTACATTTAAACAAATGCAGTGGACATTGCTGATTTTAGGAAATACTTTCCTTAAGATTTGAGTGAATAACAAATCTTTCATTAAAAATCTTAAATACTCAAGCCAAAAAAAGGGCTTAAATTCATGATATGTGAGTTAACATCATTGCATGGGGATCTACATATGATAGCTCATTTGGTATAGTAACTAGGCTACAGACTGGATAACTAAGGAAATTTGGTTTGATTTCTGGCAGGGAAAAGAGATTTTTGTCTTCTCCGCAGTGTTCAGACCTGGTCTGGAGCTAACTTAACTTCTTATCCAATGAATAATAGAGGTTCTTTCCTCAAGGACAGAGTGATCAGGGCGTAAAGCTGACCACTGTCTTCCATGTAGTGCTAACGTGAATAGTGTGCAGGGTTCACCTCTGTTCAGCCAGATGGCTTCATGGTGTAGTGCTTAATTAAGCAGAGGGATAAGTTTACTTTTGCCATTATCAGAATACTATGAAAGTGACTATATTGTTATACTCTGTTGCAGCATGATTGCAGCTGTGGGATTGGTGGAAAGTAGTGCAGTGAATATAGTTGCTGCTATGTTGGTTTCACCTCTCATGGTATGAGTTCCTGTAATACCCATATCATTTCTCACAATCTAGTCTCTCTGAACTATCTGTGAGGGTACATAACACCTTCAGTAGGCAGTCTCATGGATGATGAATTCTTTGTGTTCAATGAGACTTCCAGCATGGTGACTTTTCTTCCCTTTTTATGTTGAAAACAAAAATATAGCAATTTTGTAAGGATAATGTAACAGTCTGTATCACTGTTGAGTGAGGGTATACCCTCAAAGATTCTTTACATACAGTTAGACACAGCTTTTTATGTAATTAAATGTGTTTGTAGAATTTAGATTAGGCTATCAAAAATGTTTGTGAATGATTTGTGTGGTGATTTTGGGTCTAGCTCAAGAGACAAGGTTGTGTTCATTCTGATCAACATTGAAATAGACTTGACCACTTTTCAGATAACCGAACATTCATATATCTAGCCATGCTATGTGGGTCCCTTGTCACCACGACATGGCGCGTCCTCGGGTTGCGGATGGAGGAGATGACCTCCAAATATGGAGGGTAGCTGCGAATATACTGAATAAGCAGTCGCGGACAGCCGACAAGGGGTGGGCCTCCAACTTGGGGGTTGGGTGTGGGGCTAAGAATTCCACACCGTAAAAAATAAGCTTGTTACTAAATGTCACAAAGGGTCTTGGGTCTGGACGGATTCTTTGGATAAACGACCTGAGCAAAAGAAAATGGACAAATGGATCTTAGAGAGATAAGATGTAGTGGAATGGACTGGATCGATCTGGCTCAGGATAGGGACCAGTGGAGGGCTCTTGTGAACACGGTAATGAACCTTCGGATTCCATAAAATACTGGGAAGTTCTTGAGTATCTGCACAGTTAGAGGCTTTTCAAAAAGGGCTCAGCTCCATGAAGTTAGTTTAGTTTAGTCCATATATCAAGGTGTCACTGAGCTCTGATATTAATACTTGTATCATGGTTCTATAAACATTCTAACTACTGCTTCAAGCTCTGCACTTAGCATTTCTGAAATTAGTGATGAACTTTAAGATCCTGCAAAAGCCACTGAATAACTCTCAGTTGCTTGCAGAAGATTTTGTACTCTGTGGTTAGTTCTGTCACGTTCATCCAGACACTGCTTTGTTGCTGCAAAACGCCATATGTCAGATGTTGGTTAATATGGAACATGAGCTGACTGATTTTATACGGTAAGAAATAATTATATGTAAGATATGAAGGTTACACAGTAGCTTAAGTTAATGAAATCTCTAGCTATCAGCTGTTTCAGTTGGTAAAAATGACTTCACATTTCAACTATCATATTTTTCTTTGTCATCACAACTGGAACGATGGTAATTTTTAATCGACCGACATGGCTGTATGCCCAAGAAAATCTAATTAAATTCTGCTTCATTAGATTATTTGTGGGTCATCAAAATTATGAGTGATAATATATGAATATTATGTTACACATGTCCTTTGTTTGGGGCTATATTTGATTTACACAAAGATACGGAAACTGGATCTCTTTCCATCATCATATGTAATGATCCTATCAGACTGGTCCTATTATAAAAAGCTAGTTTCAATCTCTGGATTATACTTCATGTATGTCACATGTACCTGAGATTCTGGACAATATTCATTTTTATGGGAAAGCAGAATTTCTCGAAATTACTTTTGCAATTTTCGTGATAACTTAGAAGGGAAAAGTTAACCAGCTGACATACTGAAGTGGCTTTATTGGAAGTCATTTCAAACCTAACCTATATGACTTCATTATTGCTTCCAAATGTTAGAACATGTAATTCATTTGACTGCATGATCTTGTAGTCTAACTGCAAGGCTAGGATTTCAAATGATACTTCATATTAATATGTAAACATAGTATATATCAGTGAAAAATATATGGTCAAAAGTGTATTACTTGACATTGAGGAAAATATATTGTTGTGAACTAAAGGTAAATATACATGGTTCTCAAATGATATTTGACAGCTGTTGTTATACATACATACATACATCTGCGTTTGCAGGATATTCATAAGTGCAATCTGCACTGAATATGAAACATGTCACAAGCTTTACAAACAACAATACATCTTTACAATTCCAACATGCCATATCACAATAACAAACAGACATAAATGCAAACAACGTGCATCTAAATAAATACATGAAATACAGATTATATTTACACTTAATGTCTATATTGATGCCTACTGTGGGACATCCATCAGTCTACATGCACTCCCTTTCTATTCCTTAGCTGTTGATCCCGACAGAAGAGCAAAAATTCATCAACAGTATATGACGGATTATGTATTGTTCATTATGCATATATTATATTTGGCACTTCTCATTGTCTTGGGTGTTTTTGCTACACATAGCGTCTTGAATTGTGTCTTCTGGTATTTAATGCTGTATTGCCAGTGATTTTCACCATACTATATGGTGTTATATCTCACGAATTCTTCATAACATTGAGAGGCCCTCAGATTCTGCACATAACACATACTGAGACTAGCTCTACAGATGTATCTCCATAGAATCTCTTCTGTCCTCATGCCTGTGATAGAAAATAATCCAGTTTCTGAAATGTTATGTATATAAAGAGGGAGCTAGGATAGCTGAGTTGATATTGCAATGGGCTATGATCTGGACAGCCAATGTTTGATTCCCAGCAGAGGCAAGAGATTTTTCTTTAGTCTACAAGGTCGAGACCATCTCTTGGGCCCACCCGGCCTCCTTTCCAATGGGAATTGGGTGCTCTTTCCCTGGGGGTAAAGTGGCCATGGTGTGAAGCTGGCCACTCACCTCCATCTAGTGCCAAAGTCAAGAATGGTGGAGCTATACCTCCACTCCCTGACAAATCTTTGTGATGTGATGCTTAATTAATTGATTGCATGGACAACTTTACCTTCTTTTACCTTTTTACCTTGATGTATATCAAATATGACCTAGACAGTGGGCTCTGTTCAGCACAGAATTAATATAATAAATCAGCCATTATCACAAACCTTTTGGAGAATCAAGTAGTGATATATTTTTATTTGATGTGTTTCAGAGTCCAATTATGGCTGCTACATTTGGAACTGCAATTGCAGATAGGAAATTAATAAAAATTGGTTTCCGAAGTGAAATTATAGGCCTCACGATGTCACTTATATTTGGATTTATATTTGGCCTGTTAGTTGGAACAACAGATGATCCTTGGGGTACAGGAGATTGGCCTACTGAAGAAATGAGGGGCAGGTGAGCTCTGGTGTCATAATTTTATACGTGCAATTCTTGGATTTCTTTTTTTTAGATTGAATCAAGAAAATATCTAAGATTTATCAGTCTGTGACATAGAGAATTTTCTGATAACTGCTTCTGCTTTGTGCAGTAACATGTGAACTACCCATTCGTAATGGCTGACAGCACACACACAACTGAACTTGTCAATAAAATTTGTCTGTCTTCTTCTGTCTGACCATGGTGCAAATGAAAGTGGTAATACAATGATTTATTAAACTTTCCTGTTAAAAGGTATATGATATGAGAAAGTACAAGTAATATAATTTAGTGTATTGATAAACAGTGGCTAGTGTTATAAATTATGATTACAGTGAAAGAACTGGTTTGGTAGAGAAATTGTCTTTCTTATCACACTTCTCAAAATTTTCAAAATTGTTGTCTTTGAACTGAAAAATAATTCTCACACATGCCTTGTCACATACAAACATCTAATCCAGTCATTTATTTGACTACTTACACATACTACTTACTTCTTTCTTAATGATTTATTTATTTATTTATGGTCCATGTATCAACACTGTCAGTGCCTTAGACCATGTATTGTCACACGCTGAATGATTAGAAAATAATGAATTGAAAGGAATGTGGAAGGAAGTGGTTATGGCCTAATTTGTTGTACTATTCTAGCTGAGATTTGAACTGATAACATCAAAAATGTAAGTCTTGAACTGTTTTGTCTGATGAAACAGTACTTTTTTTTATGGGTTGTTTAATAATGCTGTCAGTATCAAGCCTGTAAATTGTTGGGTGGTGGGATGTTGGGTGAATGATGAATTTCAAAGGATCTGGAAGGAATCAATCATAGCTTAGTCAAGGTACTATCCCTGCATTTGCCCGAGAGAAACTGAGATAAAACCATGAAAAACCTCAGTCAGGATAGGAAGTGTCCTGGCTGGAATACAGGGCTAGAGCACTGCAACTAGATCAACCTGTTTGGTTCAAACTGTATCATTGAGCCCACTGATAAAACTTTNAGTATGATTAAAGGACTTAACCTTGAAAGAATACCACAGCCCACTAAATAATTTTTTTTTAACTCCCAAACCACATAATATGATATTTTCAGAGGTATGGCACGATCGCTTTGGATTGGTGTTTTGTGGGCTCTTCCATCTGGAACTGGAGTTGCGTTAGCCTTGCTGCAAGGAAGTGCAGGACCTCTGATTGGTGTTGCCATATCTGCTTCTCTGTTGCCACCTGTTGTCAATTGTGTGAGTATTTGCTTCTCATATATTTCTGTGATAATAGTTGAAATTTCTCTCAGCCAAGAGTGAGATTTGAGGTTCTCATAGCGGTGCTTATGTACGTGGTAGAGTCATTAAGTCGTGGAATGTGGTTTTATCGCATCATATTACAAGGTATTCATATACACTTACACAGATCCACATCGGCCCTCAAAATAGTTACCTTTGTCCCTATGCAAGTCTGCCAATGTTGATATAGCTGCCAAAAACATTGCTGAAACATATTGGCAGGAAATTCACATACGGCGTCTCTTGTGGCAATGACCACCTCCTCGGACGACTGAAATCTATGACCACAGGTTTTATTTTACACTTCTTTCATTAGTTTTCTCTTAAGCTTTGCTCCTTTCGCTCCATTCCCTCCACCACTGACTGTTCTTTCCATGATGCATGTTTGCCTACCACAAAGATTGAGTCAGCAGTTTCCTTTGCATCATTTATAAATGTCTATCAGACAACACAGAATCATGGCCCAAAAGACTATAATCTTCATAGTCAGTGATATGAGAACCACAGATATCATATCAGTTCAAATGTTTTTTCAGGAACTCCTATGTTTTTAGTGATATATATGTTTTATTTTCAGGGTATGATGTGGGGTTTAGCGTGCATAGTGAAAATCTATGATGATTACAAAATCCCTTATATGAAAGGAGAAAATTATACTGGTCCAACTTCAGCAAAGCTTACTTATACAACAATGGACAGATATCCTTCAGAGTTGGCGATTATGGGCAGCATCAGCTTCTGTCTCACATTAGTCAATATCGGCTGCATTTTTTCGACAGCCATAGTTGTACTGAAGGCAAGTTATAGCATACCCACGCAGTAATAGCAATACAATTGTGCTTTCATTCGTTGTTTAGGGGATGAATGCAGGGATTGGTTCATAGAGATGGTGGAGCATGACTAAAATTTTGTTATGATATACAGCACAGAACTATTGAAACGAATCTTAGAGAAATATTGGATTCATCTGGCTCAGGATAGGGACCAGTGTATCATGTTTGTGTCTGTAACTGTTTCAGAAATACACAAATTTCTTATCACCTAAATCGTTCATAGTACCCATGTTTTTAATGAGTTACCCTTAATATGTGCACTGAAATGTATATAAATCTTTGTGTAAAGCAGTGGTTGAAATGTTCAAACCAACTGACAATTAAAGCTCAGAAATTTTTTGTAAAATTCTCCAGTGTAAAGTGCTTCTCGTATTTCATACGAGCAGATAGACTGACACATGCACTGAGCATGTTTGAGAGTCATTAAGCAGAGTTGCGCTTAAAAGACACAGAGATAAGCCACAAATCAGATGATCTCTGCACTGAAGTGTACTCTATTTCATATGAATCACATCACAAGGATAATTTCACTTCTGCCTGTGCAGATCAAGGAAGTGGCGGCGCCATACACTTCAAGTCCTGACCTGAGGCGTTTCTGGGAACATGACATCCGTGTCGCTCGAGATGCCAACAGAGCTACCTTGAGACATTCCCATGACAAAGGCAGCACCAATGACATGAAGTATGTGCTTTATTTTATGCAGTTGGTGAAAATATACAAAACTATGGTTTTGTGGTTTAATTCACTTTTAAAGAAAGTTTCTGAATATGCACTTACAGACCATATATGCTATACTTCAATATGCAACGCACTGCAAATATATGCTTCAGAAGAAAGAATCCGAGACTGCAAAAACAAGTGGCATAATCACATCTTAAGAATAGTCTCTTCATGAGTGGCCCCAAAATTGTAAGAATTGCATCCAGATGGATGAAGAAATGTTCGCTGTACAATAAGACAATGGTAGCATGGTATTTGACTCGAAACAGGCTAATATTGAAAGCCTACCTAGAAGTAGATGACAATGCTGCTGCTGCTGCTGCTGCTGCTGATGATGATGATAATTTTGCCTTTAGTTCCGCATGGGTATGAAAATTTGTTTCACACTTTAAAGGGGGGAGCACAGGCAAATATTTCTGAGCAGAGGACACATCATATTTGAACCTAAGAGAGAGGGAGTAACGGGAGGATAGAAAAAATTGCAGAATGGGGAGTTCTATAACTTATGCTCCTTGTGAAAGATTATTAGGGTCATCGAATCAAGCAAAATGAGGGGGGCATGACATGTAGCTAATGTAGAAAGAAAGAGAAATTCATACAAAAATTTTGTAGGAAAACCCGAAGGAAATAAATAAATAAATAGTATAAAATGACTTGTAGCATCGTCCAGTGTGATTAATTTATAAAAGTTATATTTCCATATTTCATTTTCCTTAACATGTTTCGGCCGGGTTGACCATCTTCAGAAGGACACGATCAGCATTTAGGAAACCACTATTACAATTTCATTAATATATAAAAGTTGTGCCTTGTAACTACATTAAGTATATGAATTGGTTGGAACATTTATAAGTTATTATAAATAATTATTTACACAGTCAAGTATTTAAATTTAAAGCTATAAAAACTTTTTGTTAAAATTAGAACCAGTGGTTCGTGTCTTGAAATATATTCTCATTAAAGGAAGAAGATTGTCTATCATGATGTAGTTTCAATGTCGTTAGTGTCGTGGTCCTGTTGTGCAGAGCACTTTGTGTTGTTGTACTTTTAGTGTTGTGGTCCCGTTATGCAGAGCACTTTGTGTTGTTGTACTTTTAGTGTTGTGGTCCCGTTATGCAGAGCACTTTGTGTTGTTGTACTGTTGATCATGTCCTTCTGAAGATGGTCAAATGATATATTGAAACACAAGTTTTATAAATCAATCACACTGGACAGTGCTAAAAGTCACTTTATACTATTGCTAGTGTGATGGATCAACATGAACCAAGTCAAACATAAATAAATCTTTGGAAGAACACGACAGAGTACATGAAAACTGATGGTGGCTGAAAATGGAAAAGTTTCAGATCCTGGGTGTAAGAACAGAGAAAGTATATCCTGAATCACATCATCCCAGATGTAGAGGATAAATGGTTAAGTAACAGTGTGATAATATGTGATATTTATTATGCTTATAGTTTGTAATTCTTTGTTTTCATATCTTGACCCTTAAGAGCACAGCGGTTAATATATGCACTACTTGCTTGTAACATTCATAGCCCCAGTATTTCGTCCACAAAATATATTTACATGTTTAATATGATCTTCAGAATTAACCAGTTAGTCTCTGTAGTGGAGATGCGGCATGTTTCATTTGAGGTGGGAACTAAGTTGTTAAATATTATTAGAAGAAATTTGTGATTTAGAGGGTTAAAATATGAAGGCATGCATACAATATTTTGGTCTCCCCATGTTGTAATTCATGACTTCATTAAAGTTATACCTCCTCTTCCGCCTCCTCCATCATTGTAGCCTGTTCCATACTCATACCATTTTTTCAAGATTTTTCTCAGCCTTGAAATCCTTCTGGCTGATGCTGTAGAATGTATATTTATAGTCTTTATTATGTCAGTCACTTCTTTCAAATGGTTTGTCTGCTTTTCTCTATATTCATCTATTTTATTTTATTCTTTCTGATCATGTAAAGTTCCCCACTTCACTTGTTTTTCAGACAAGCTATTAATGATCTAAGCTCGGTCCCACCAGATGAGCTGGAATACACTCTGGAAGCTGCCGTGAGGGAAGCTATTGATGACGACACGTTTCGCAAGGTGAACCGATGCAGTTATTCTGCGAATACAGCAGATGTAAGTAAACACTTGCTTCACTTGCCCAGGATATTCCCTGGGATAGGGGACAGCTTCCAAGTTCTTCACTAATAATCTCATTTCTTATGGGAGCCAGACATTATCTCCACTACTCAGTCTTGCCATCAGGCTGCGCCATAGCTCAAGCTGTTAGTCGCTGTCTTCCCACCGCAGCGGCCTGTGTTCGATCCCGGGTTTGGTCAAGTGGGATTTGTGGTGGACAAAGTGGGGCTGGGACAGGTTTTCTCCGAGTACTTTTATTTCCCCTGCCAATCTTCATTCCACCAATTGCTCCACAGTCACCCTCACCTATCATCTGGGGCTGGTACAATAGGCCAGAAGTGGCCGCAGTACAAGGGACTTAGTCGCACCCCACTAGCAATAAAAAAAATAAAGTCTTGCCATTTGACTGTATGAGGAGATGGGAAACAACAAATATTGGGAGGAATTTCCAGGTGGCACAGAGAGATTTTCGGAAAAGTAGTACCGTTGAATGGATCTACGAATTTGAATTAGAGTTATATACAATTTGTGTAGAGTTATATACAATTTATATACAATTTATGGCATATATAGTTGTCACTAAGCAGTAACTCTATAAACAGAGGCCGTTGCTAGGTAATGCCTGCAACATACACACATGCAACAAGAGAAGAACTGTGTTTCTATGTGGTCTATGCCAATATGTTATAACTGGGAGGTTTGGAGCTTAGAGAGGATAGCCATTTCTGCATATGGGGTTATGAAGAGAGGACCTGAGCGCATGAAGATGAAGAACTACCACTGTTAGAAGCCATTACCAGCGAATGGCTGTTAAAGAAGAAACGAGCTAGAAAAAGGCTTAGTGAGTGCTGCGGTGATTTGTGAATTGTGGAAATTAGTTGTGGTGCTATAATTGCTTGTACTTCCAAGTCGCATGTATAAGTGGTCAATAAATCCATTCACCAATTCAGATCTGTAGTCACACATACAAGTAACTGTCAGAAGTAACTGTTGAATTTCAACATGCGAAACATGAACTAATTTACATTTCATTGTCTTATATGTTATGTTATGGGGTAAACTTTTTCTAATCCTATTTCTGACAGTGAATATTTTAATTCTATATACTCTTTCAGATGAGGAGTGTATTAGGACTTGGAAGTAATCACAGTAACAGAGAGAGCAGTGTCAATACTGGCGCATCACCTCTACGTGACCGTGACACACTGGATCAGGTTATCCGCTCACTTTTGGATTATCAACCTCAGCAAACCACACAGCCACAACAATCAACCCTAAACCGATTCCATCAGCTGTCTCGATCTCTGCGTCAAAGTTCAAGACGTTCCAGTGGGCGGCGACGTAGCAGCCGCAATTCCTTCCGACAGACACTGCACAGTCTTCATGAAAGCCAAGGTGAATAAGTACTTCAGAATGAGTACTTTCAAAATACTATCTTTCAGCTCCATACTGAATTCATTAATTGAGCTGTAACGATTCTTGTTTTGTGTAGCTGAAGTATTAAGGAACTAACTGAAGTTAGTCGTGGTTCCTTCACTCTTTCTGAGGCCTTTAGTTAGGCCACAGCTACTTCAAAATCTCTCACTATTCATTGGTGGTGTTATATAACCCCCTCAGGTGAAACGGCATTGTTAAGTAACCTAAAATTCGACCATATTTACGAAGAAAGTTCTTCAGTCTGATTCATCATACACAGGTTTGTCATTTATTTGGGTTAAAATTTAAGATAATAATAGACTTTTAATTCTTTCAGGAGAATCAATGTCAGACAGCACTGGCCTGCCTACAATCATGGAAAGCAACAATACTTTGCAGAAGAACTCAGCTAGCAAAAGACCTCAGTCTCTCTCAGAGAGGGCGCTTAATGTGCCTGTTGTACGGAACATTATGCAGACCTTTTCCCATCCACAGAATAGGTTCATGTCTCCTGGGCCAACTTCAGACCGCCGAAGTGAAGATAAATTTGAGAGAATTAGTCTAACAATGAACCCTGAATAATATGCACATGGAGAACCTGAATTTTATCTTAAAATTTGGACACGTCTGAATACCATACATGTTAAATGAGATTCTCCTGAATAGATTAATATGATTAAGAAACAAATTATGAATTAAATATAAGTAAACTTCAAGACAGGGTAGTTAATCTTCTGATTCCTCTTCTACTTTTCCATGTTTATGTGCGTCATATGAGAACTAAGCCTCTGCACCAATCTCTGTTGTCCCAGAGCTGCGACTCAGTTTCTCATCGTGTTCTTTCTTAATCCTTAACCTGTTCTTGTCTTGATTTTGGCCTTCCTTTTGGGTATTTTAAAATTATTTTTGTTTTTAAAATCCTCTTTCGGGTTCTTTCTTCATTTGTTCTTAAAATGTGCCCATACCATCTTATTAAAATATCTTTCAATGTGTATCCTTAAACTGTCTACAATTCTTTTTCTTTATCCTTTCTCATCTAGTTTTTCCTTCTGTTCTTCTCAGAAATCCCACATCAACTGCTCCTACTCTGCTGATACCTGTCTTTGTCCTTTCTTAGTCTGTCAGTTGTCAGTCTATATCAGATTTAAAAGAGATAAAAGAAATATAAAGTACCGAAGGGGTGAGCAAATTATGGCTTGCTTACCAGATTTAACCCCTGAGAGTTTTCTGTCCCTCATGCAAACCTACTGTGAAAATTTGCCTTAAATATTATTTTTGATTTATATCAACATTGTTTAATATTGAAATTAAGAAGCTTCTCAGCAGCTACAAGCAGTATCATTTGTCTGATAAATATGACGAGTAATGACATTCGTTATGCATATCTTATATTTCCGCAAATTAAAAGGTACATAAAAATATTGTTCTGAATTCTTTCTGGCTGGCAAAACACTTGAAATCTTTAATCTGGCACTTCAACAATATAGTTTGCTCACTTCTAGTGTAGATACTGAAAGAGTCATAAGAAGAAAAGATCACTGGGGTCCACCAATTAGAGAGCGTTGAGTTGCTTACCCTGGCTTGATAGGCAACATTGTTGAAACCTGAATACTTTACTGAATCTAATGCTGAGGTGTGAGAAGTTACTTTCACAGTCTTTGATTGTGTGGTTCTTAGATATCTGGATGGCACTGGATAAACTCACCCTTCTCCATATCTATTCTAATGGGCAGGAAAGAAGAGAAAACTAGGCGATCATGTTGATCGCTGCCTCTAGAAAACTGCAGAAGTCTGTAAAGTGAAATGTGCAGTTTACTTCAGGAATTGAAAAACTGAAAAATATTAGAAGCAAGTGAATTTTAAGGGCACAATCTTATTTTTTTTATAGATTTTAGCACTTCTTAGAGTGTTTTCATTTTTTATTTAATTGTTTGTGTGGGGGTGAGACCAAGTTCACTTGGTATGCCAGTCCCTAGTGGCCTTATTGTGACATCCTTGGATGATAGAAGAGTGTGGAGCAGTCAGTGGAATGAGAATTGGCAGGGAAACTGAAGCACTTGGAGAGAACCTGCACCAGTGCATTATCTGCCACAAAATCCATGTGACCTGACCTGGCATCAAACCTTGGCTGCTGCTGTGGGAAGGCGGCAACTAACTGCTTGAGCTATGATAATAAGAGTACAATACTTTTGTTAATCTATATAGAGAATGTTCAGTTTTATATTTAATCTACTGATGTATCGTATTTAATGGGATTTATGAACTCCTGTGAGAAAGGCAAGTATTTATGTGAGATTTGAGGTTTTCATAATGGTGATTACAAAGTGACTGTAATCTGAAACATGACACTGTGTAGTCTCATAAAAGTTTACCTGTGTTTTGGAGGAACGCCTCTTTGATCTTTAACACTGAGGCAAAATTTTTCTCTGAAACACAGGTAAACTTTTATCATATCACACAATGTCATATTGCAGCAGATCGTGTCGGGTGGGGGGCTATCGAACGAGCATTGACCCAGTAGTGTTGGGGCTAAGCTACCGACCGTTATTATATATTATTATATTATATAATTATTTCAGGTATCAGTAATGTTAGGGATTAAGCACTTTCTTTTGTAGGAAATGCTGTTTTCAAATTTGGGAGGATAAATTAATGCGACTTTGTTATGGATACCACAAAAATTTTTCCTGGAGGGGGGAAGTCAAATAATTTGCTTGCAGGGTTACATTTAAGAATTGTTTTTACTGATTGCCCTAGGGTATTTTTGATAGAAGAATATTTGTTTAAATAATTCTAATTTAACATATTAATATTTGCTTTATTTCCTTCTTGTTTCAGTTTTAAGTTTCTCAAAATTCGAGAGTGGGAGGGGGAAGCTTTCTGGCTTGCCCCCTCCCAGTGCTGGTGCCCCTTAGCTTCTTCTGTGGCTCTAGTATAGAGCTATCAAAGTTTCATCACATCTTGTGTATGAAACAATGAATGTCTTATGTTAAGATTGCGGTCTGCTCATCCATCAACATACAGATTCATGTCCAAAGTGACATAAATGCTGCATGACAGTGCTACACAATATTCTTTTTAAGGTCATACTGCTGCATTAGAATGTTTACTTTGCATAATTTAAGTTTGTCTTATGTATCATTCAGTATTCACCATTAGAAAGTTGTTTCAAGTAAAGATTATGTAGTTTAATAAGCAATGTCATGATTATGTTTTTGGACTGTAAGTCATTTTTGAGAAATCCGATAAAATTCAATTTGTGTATGTAAACACCCATGGAAGTTGTAAGAATTTTTTTATCCTGCTTCTGTTGTTCCACTTCAAGCACTGATGTTGGCTGCAGTGAATCATGTCATAGCTTTGTCAAATTACAATAAATATTATTATAGAATGAATATACGCATTCGCCAACTGAACGGTCTCAATGTTTTCTTCATCATCATCATATTCTTCACACTCCTTCCTTATCCTCAGGTACAATTTTTGTGCCACTATGGCCAAGTCTCACTGCTGATATAACCACCTTTCAGGTCTTCCAACATTCCTTCTTCCCCAAAGTCTGCACTGCATTGCTGTCCTATATAGTCTTATCCTCCATTCTTTCTACATGGTCATTTTATTGCCTTCATATCCTTCTGTACATATACCATAGCAACAAACTGTTGAGCATTTAGAACATTATATGAATGCAAGTTATGTAGTAGGTCACAAACAAGTGATCATTCTTTTGTGTCATTGTATTGTCTCTATTCTGTGAACACCGATAATATTTTGATGTTTGTATGTGGAATGCAGTATGCTACGAAAAGATGGTTTATGGTTAAGTGTTTGTGCATGTTATTTGTGGAAGATGGCGTTGAATGTCAACCTCGATGCAACATTTGATAATATGTAGGATTGTAAAGGAATACAGGAGAATGCAGGACAAGTTAATGATATGAAATTTCATGTAACAGATGATGAGACTTCCCATTTATTTCCAAATGAATATTACATTATTTCCTCAAAAATCTTTGCTATGTTTAGTTACATCAGTTTGCTCTCCAATTATTTCATTTTGCATATGGTCTCTTAATTTATAGACAGCAGTTGGCTTGGGGAATCTCGTTTGTTGTGCCTCCTATCTCTTCTTGCTCTTAAAGTTAGAATCTGCCTTTTTATCCAAACAGCAATGCAGGTTTTGCTGTTATTTCATGAAATCTCAGTTGTACCACTTTTGGTATACTTTTACATGAGTTTCTTCTAATTGATCCATTTATTTTATTTGAATTATTTACATTATTCTCCAAGCTCCTTCTTTACTTAATTAGATATTTATTTCCTAAGTACTTAAATATCTCAATTCCTTCATTTAGATTATTATTAGTTACAATTTGAGGTCCTAGCAATTTATCTCTGACCTGGCACTTGGCTGTTCACAGAGTAAGGTACCTGCATTTTAGTACAAGCTGAGGATCTCATAGGACAGATTATGAACAGTATGATCTGTATGGCCCTACAGCACATGATATTGTACCCTTTGGGTTTAAGTAGTTCATTATTTTCACACTTTAGCTTCAAAATTCCATTCTAAACACCCTAGGATAAAGTCTACTGAAAATTCAATTGGAAACTCTTGTGCTTATCAACATTACAATTCGATCTCCAGTATAAAATCTATTGAGAATTCCTGTGCATGTGCAACATCTTTCTCTTACAAAACCAAATTGCATAAAAAATATTTAACTACCTGAGAAGTTCTGGAGAAACAGCTACATTTATACAGACTTATATTCAACATCATACAGAATAACATTATATGTTAAGCAGTGCTACCATCTTGAAGAATATTATATTTCTTTTTTTAGAAAAGGTGGATGCTGCAGTATTGACACCACTTCCCTTTATTGCTGTCATATTCTGCTCTGGTTTGTAACTACTATCAGCAAGGCCGCACCATAGCTCAAGCGGTTAGTTGCTGGCTTCCCACCACGGCGGCCCAGGTTCGATCCTGGGTCTGGTCAAGTGGGATTTGTGGTGGACAAAGTGGCACTGGAGCAGGTTTTCTCCGAGTACTTTGGTTTCCCCTGCCTATCTTCATTCCACCAATTGCTCCACAATCACCCTACCTATCATCTGGGGCTGGTACAATGGGCCAGATGTGGCCACAGTACAAGGAACTTAGTCCCACCCCACTAGCAAAAAAAAAAAAAAAACTACTGTCTGCTACTACTAAATTTGACTGCTATATGTAACAACAGAGTAGCAAGCAGTCTTCATGGGTTCAAATCCCTATCAGGGCATGGATATATGTCCATGTTTTTGTGTGTTTCTGAACTAAGTAGTTGCACTAGACTGGCAGACCAGCCCAGGGAATGACCAACACAAAATAAGTGAAATTATTACCCTGGAGGCCCACAAATTTGTTCCTACGTGTATAATTGTTGGGAATTGTAGGTGTGACATTTTAAGGAAATGAAAAAGGCTTCCATAAAGTGCAACACTCTGGAAGCAAGCAGATAATGCTTAGTCACATCTTCCTTAATCTGTAGCCCTGGTTCTATGCAAGCAGAGGGAATGGCATGGGCCAAGCAGTTGAACCAAATGTCTCAAAATATCCATATACTGAAAAGTTAATTCTGGATTTTTACAAATCAGAAAATCTAATCTGCAGAATCTTGAGAACAGAAGGATTAATTTTATCCCTGGGTTGATCCCTGTTTGAATATTTTACAGCCTTTTAATCCCTGTCAACACTGAGCAACATAATCTTGTACTTCTGCTGTCACAAACATGGCAACGAAGCTGTGGGTTCCATACAAGGGAATTTCTTTACTAGTTTAATGATTATTAACTTCTCAAATAAAAAGTTTTCCCAGTTGACTTTATATATAAATATACGATATTTGTACCACTCATATAAGGAAACTGATCAACATCTTAAGTGCTGAACCTCATTTTTCTTAATGATGGTAAACAGGAAATACCACATTAAAATAAGAAGTAAAACTATGTCAGATTTTAGGTTCTGACACTGCTGACTATGAAGATATTACTGGGTGTAATGTCCTGTAGTCTGGTTACTATCCACCCATGGTTCAGAGGAGCTTGTTGCAAGCTTTGCTTGCTGTGCACTTCCTTTTGGTTTTTTACTTGACCTACATTTTGATCCTGCAGGTGGAAGTAGTATGATTCTGCAAAATGTGGGTGGAATTTGATTGGGCTACACGGCATTATATCTAAGAAAATAACATTCCTCATAGTTCTACATCTTGTTGAGGATCATCTTGAAACCCTCATTTTAAATTTAAGCATCAGGTGGAACACGATTTGAAGAGCTGCAATCCACACCAAGAGTCCAAGCATATCAGTCCAGTAGTTCGCATCCTCCATGTCAAATTCTTCCAGATACTTCCTTGGAGATTTGAAGTGACAGTATGCTTCTGAGCATTTAAGATAGGGCCTGTCATATCCATACACGCTCTGCATCAATGCTTCAAAGGCATATCTGAAGTATGCGACATATGAGAGCCACTGAAGAAAGACTTGCATGTCTTGCAGCCTCAGGTAGAAGCCAGAGAATATGAGCATCGGGAGAGCAATCGTTGATACCACAAACACTCCTAGCTGTGGAATATACGCAAGAAATTATATCGACTTCTCAAATTTTGTAGCATCAGCTGTTGAAGTTAGAATTACTACTGAGGAAGACAAAGAGACATTGCAGATTAATTTAACCAATTAGTGTGCCCCTTTCAAATTTTGAGTGGACAGTTGTGTGAGTCATGTTACTGAGGAGAGGGCGGAGAGGGGATGGAAGAAGAGGTAAGGAAGAATATGATAAGGTGAAGAAGAAACAGAGGATAAGAAAGGAAGAGAAGTAAATGATAAATGAGTAGAAGGTGGAAGATTAACAGAACTATAAGAAACAGGAGGAGAAAGGAGGGGACAAACAGAGAAGAACAGAAATCTTCTTGAAGTTCGTTAAACGTTACGAATTTTGAGCTTCATAGAGGCTCCAGTAATGCAAGGTACTTCTGCAATTCACAATTTTTAATAAAGAAGGAAACTTCTTCACTGTTATGAAATTCCTAATTCGATGGATGGTCTTGGTGAAGTGATACAAGTTTCCCAGTGACTTATCTAAAGCCACTTCAAGCTTAGATAATTGAACAAGGTGCTCAGAGGAGCCCGCCTCCAGCTCTTCCTAGGTAATCCCACCGCTCTCAGGGGAGGTACAGCCCACTGTGGGAACCACTGATTTAAACCATTTAAATAGGTGAGTTGGAAAATATTTTTGTGTTCTGAATAGAGGGATTTTTTTGGTGTTAATATTTGGTGTATTTCCTTGTTTCTTTCACTTCAAATTTTTTCGTCCCACACTCTCCCACAATTCCAGAAGAAGGGGGGGGGGCAGATTCCTGTCTCCTCACTCCTCTTGTCGGCGCTCATACCTATCGAAAAGATGTCACACCCCAGAATTTGTCATATTCCTAATGGTTACTCTGTGGCCTAAAATCTGAAGTTTACCTGAGGTTCGACGGCTGCACCAGTCGCAAGTCCAAGGCTTTGCGCAATCGCAGCAACCATGATGAACACGGCCCAGAACTGGAAGAACCTTGTGGCTTCAGTTGGCTGGCCTGTCAGGAAGTATGCGGACACCAGGAACCCAGTGGGGCACAGGATCTGCACCGAAACATGGAACATTATTTTCACTTCCTTTGCATGAAGTTCACATTGGAGAGCACGTGTCTGTCCATTTGTAAAATCATAAGAATGTAACTCCAGAGAAGACAGCACCTCTTTAGGAGTTCAGCCAATCAAGAAGTTCTCACCTTTTATGGAACTCGAGAGTTTACTACCATGAGAACAAGAGCCTGTTCCTACCAAAACTCTTCACGAATTTCTTATGTTCCATATGTGCTACACAACCCTCACATTTTGTTCTACTTGACTTTATGGTCTTGACAATACCCTAACCAACTAACTCTATGAGCTGTAGTCCTTTCGAAGTTACAATTGTTCAGGTACTCAGTACATTCCCAGCGTTTTATGGAACACGAAAGTTCATTTTAATATTATTGTCCCATCTACCCCTTAACCTTCAAAATCGTGAATTTTCTTCAGTTTTTTTAAAGTAACGGTATACATTCCTAGTTGCTCCTATTCCTGCTATGCACCCTGCACATCTTATATATGATTTGATCATCCAAATAATATGTTGCAAAGAATACAAGTCGTGAAGCTGCTAATTATGGAAATTTCTCCATCTTCTTGTGTGAAATACCTTCATTCTTTGTTCTCCATGTAATGTAAGAGAACAATTTCAGACCATACAAAACAACAGGAAAAATTACAGTTTATATATTACTAAAATAAAGTAAAGCTATCCCTGTAAAAGTCCATGGAGGCCCATAGGGTTGTGAGATGTCCAGGTTCCCACATTTTCTAGACAGTCGGCTCACAGATGGCGGTGAGGTTGTCAGCCTTACGTGCCAGCCGCCCTTTACCCCCAGGAAGATTCCTGGTACTCATTTCTGTTACAGGCTGAGTCGACCCCAGGGCCATAGTGTAATGTGGTGGATTAGGTCAATTGAATAAATTCAAAGAACTCATCAGGAATCAAAGCCTTGATGTTCCATCTTGTGGCATAGTGACTCAAGAAAATATGATACCGTGTGACTCTTTGTATTACTTACTTACTTATTTACTTACTACTACCACTACTACTATTAGTACTAATACTGCTGCTGCTGTTGCTACTGTTGCACTGCCACTACTACTATTACTACTACTACTATGACTACAACTACTGCTACTACTACTACTACCACTACTACTACTGCTACTGCTACTATAAGATTGTACGGAACAAATATTGAAAGTGCGTGTACTGCAGTCTGAGTACACTTTCCGCTTGCCTTAGTGCGGACCAGCCTTTTCTACCAGGGAACCAACCTGCAGCGGGAGTTCAGCCACAATTTTCGAGATGTGGTACGCCTCCAGCGAGTACCAATTGTTCATATGCTCTCGCATCACCACCAGCTTCTCCAGAGGAACTGTGAAACATTAACTTATATTACCAATGGATACCTGGGATAATGTGGCCTGAACGTGAAACTGACAACTCGCCGTCTGCTACCGATGCCAATACATTTCCACGGAGTGATGCTCAATAGAAATTTTTGTCTTTTTATCCACTTTTAGCTTACTTTCCTCATATTGAAGAAAGAAATGTAGGCTTATGGGACCACCTTACGGTCTGTGTGTTTGTATGTGTGTCACTGCTATGAACTTGTAAATGCCTGAACCAATCTTTACAAAAATTGGTATGCATATCATGGCACTTGGGCCCATCTCAAAGGCATAATTCCTAGATGCCTCCCATAAATTTGTGGGTCTCTGTGTGTGCCCCTCCTATCGTTGCTAGGCAAAGGCTCAGTGAACACGTTACCAGGGCAACAGTTGCACACAAAAATAGATGAATTGTAGGACATGTCATTGGTCTGTGTCCATACCGAAAGAGAGTCTGCAGATCTGTCTGTGTATCCCTCCTGTCATTGCTGGATAATGGCTGCATAAACATGTTCCTGTGTCAATAAAGAATCGTTGGAGGCAGTCTGTGTCGTATCAAAGGCTATTAGTTCTTCCCAGAACTTCTTGTAATAAAAAGGTGAAATGTAAATCTGTCCCTGTGTTTAATTAGTTAAGCAATACGCCATGAAGACAAATGGGGAGTTAAGTATAGCTCCACCTGTCTTGTCCTCAGCACTAGATGGAGGTGAGTGGTCATCTTCATGCCCTGGTCGCTTTACTGCCAGGGAAACAACTCCCGGTACACATTGGATAGGAGGCTGAGTGGGGCCCAGAATCAGTTTGGAATCTGTGGAGAGGAGGAATATTTTTCTCTGTCAGGAATTGAACCCAGACCGTGTATCCCATAGCCCATTGACTTCATGCAATATTATACTACAATTTACGTGTTTACTCTTATGTCTGTGTCCAGGATCGGCTCGAAAATAAAGACGACCCAAGCTACCCCTTGTTATGGTACGATTTTGGGGGCGCATTTACTTCATTTTGTAATGCAAATTAATTACTGCAGCTCTTCTTTTATACAATTAATTGGCAGTAATCCAGATGTGTTATGAACTAAATTAAATAAAATTATTTTAGATATTACAACACGAATGGCAGTTATCGTGTCTACCAATTTCACGTTATTGTGAATTAAAGCTCAGCCCTATTAAACTCAGTGGGGGGGGGGATTTTTCGTTCCCATTTGGCTTGTGGTGGCCCTGATTATATTGAAAATACATAACTTGCTGTTACTACTTACATGAATGTACGAATGGGAACAAGTTACAGAAGAACAGAAACATCATTGAGAACATGAGGAAGGCGGTATTGCTGGCCACTTTGGATGCTTCATCGCCTATTCCGTAGAACACTCCACCCAGGAACAATCCTATGACCACATGACTGACCAACCGAAGTTGGGCCAAGTGCTGCAACAGACAACAGTAAAATGTTGTAATTCCTCTTACTGATTTCACTGATTCATTGATCAATGTCTCTACAGCCCTCTGTTGGGCACTGGATACTTTTTTATATTTGTAATCCTATACCAAGTCGGAAGGACTTCTTGGACAGAGATCAGCCATTTACAAGGCCCCTACCTACACACAGGACAAGACAAACACAGAATAAACTTACACAGACATCCATGGCTTGAGTGGGATTCGAACCGACGACTCCAGTGTCCTAGAGGATGAAGACGGTTCATGCCTTAAACCGCGCGGCCACTGTGATCGGTCTATAAGAATGCACCAGCATCAATACAATCAGTCATATGTTCTTAGAATGACGTACCAAGTCTCGTATAGTGCAAAGCACTGCTCTCTTCAGCAAGACAGAGATCTGCCTAGCCAGTGTCACCGGATACCTCGACCCCATCGTCTCTTGAGGAACCTGAATATATGTATCCGTCGAGTTCTTCTTTATCGACGGCCTTAACATCGATGCTGGAAAGGCAGAAATATAAGAGATTATATTAGTTTAGAGTTCCTCACTTCGTGACTATGAAACTAGCTTTCGGGATATGACGCCGTGTGATCTTGTAGAGGTTTACTTATGTTTCGGAGGAACGTACTGTCTCTATCTTCAGTGACACTACGTTTCTCTGACATCGATAAATATCTACCGGCGTCAAATCCCAGAAGGTTCGCCGTTTATATCCCTTCTCTTTTTGTTGGTTATATACGCTTTCAGTGTCCACATCGTGTAGCGTGGAATAGTGCGTAAGGATGTTGTCTGGATTCATCTGGCTCAGGATTAGGACCAATGGCTGGTTGTTGTGTACACTATACGGAAACTGAAACTTCGGGACCCATAGATAGTGAAATTATTTGACTAAAGAAGAGACTTCCAATATTTTGCCCACCCCTTGTAAATGGTCTATGATCATTTCTGTTTGGATGGTAGGATTTTAGGAGCTTATTCTTGTATAATCAAATATATGTCTTACTGAAGCTTTATCAGTAATAAGGATTATTAAACTTTAAGTTGCTAGATAAGGCTGGTATTTTACAAACGGAAAATATTCTCTGAAATACGTATATTGGGCCAGAGGCTGGGATGGTGCAGGGCCGATGAGGACGCTGTAGGGAAGAGAGAAATCTCTTGCCCTTTTCTGGAATCGCAGTCTGGTTCCTTGAGTGTCCAGCGCACAGCCTGGTCTCTATACTTACCGAAACATCCCACCTTCAAATTTAATAAATGCATCTTAATTGTGGCTGTAAGTTAGTCCGTAGGCCATGCTCGACTTCACGTAGTTGACATCTTCTGGTTTTAGTACCTGCCTAATCCGTTTTGGATAGATTGACACTGGTGTAGGTGTCATTACAAGAACATTAGATTTTCCCTTCTGATAATCATTCCACCATTGCCGAATTTGCCACCATTATCAGGGGCGAGTACATTAGGCCCCTTTTGAATGTCAGTAACACGGGACACCGTCTCACAACGCGTCAGCTACTAAGCATTTTCTAGCAATTCTCTGATTATACATAATGATATAGTTTGTAGCCCATCACAGTGGCTGAGCGGTCTGAGGCAAGAAATGTTTTCGCCCGCGTAGACACCGAGATCGTAGGTTCGAATCCCACTCGAGGCATGCATGTCTGTCTGCGTTTGTGTTGTTCTGTGTAGGTGGCGGCCTTGAGACGGGCCGATCCCCTGTGCAAGAGGCCCTATAACTGTCTAAGAGATTCATTATTTCAGAGTTAATTCTGAATTGTGGACAGGCCAGAGAGGCCAATCCGTCAAGGCAGAAGAAGAATATACATTTTATTTTTATTGCTAGTGGGGTGGGACTAAGTCCCTTGTACTGCGTCCACTTCTGGCCTATTTTACGAGCCCCAGATGATAGGTGAGGGTGATTGTGGAGCAATTGGTGGAATGAAGATTGGCAGGGGAAACCGAAGTACTCGGAGAAAACCTGCCCCAGCGCCACTTTGTCCACCACAAATCCCACTTGACCAGACCCAGGATCGAACCCGGGCCGCCGCGGTGGGAAGAATATACATAGTTTGTATTTATAATAAAATCGCTGTTGCTATAAGGTGTGAAATTTGTTGAACTGAGATGGCTCAGTCGGTACAAAGAGTGGTCGCTTGTTTGACGGTCGGGTTTCGAATCCCAGCAGGGGCAAGAGACTTTCCCTCTTCTCCACAGCGTCCAGACTTGCACTGGGGCCCATCCAACTTCATATACGATGGGTACATGGGGGCTCTTTCCCTGAGGTTAATGCGGCCCGGACGAGAGAATGACCACTCAGTTCCATTTAGTGTTAGGTCAAGAATTGTTGAGCTATTCTTTCACGCCTCACGTCTTCATAGAGTGTTGCTTAGTTAATTGGGCACAGGGACAACTTTGCCTTTACCCTGCAGGGTATGAGATTATTATTATTATGTATTATTTTGTATTATTTCTTGGGACTGTGATTTAATCTGCGTTTGATACTAAGCGTTATCTTTGGATTTGTAATTATCACAGCGGTTACTTCAAGAGTATAATCTCCGCCATATAAGAGTTCTGCTTGCCTGAAGTTCTCAGGGTGGTGAACTGTTTTCGGCATCTGCTTCTTACTGACTTTTTGCTTCATTTACTCTTGAACCCTGAAAATGGAAGCACTACGTTCCTCTGGTAAGTCTGTGAACTTCTACCAGACTACACTGCGTTGAATCCCAAAAGATTGTACTCTACAATCTTTCTGTAATTTTCTTTCTAGGCTCAGGATACCATATTATTTGCAGAATGGGTGTCAGGGGAATTGAGGTTAGGTTCAGACAAGGACAAATGATTCTTCTGTTCTCTCCAAGGTCAAAATCGGATCTGGGACCCATCCGGTCTTCTGTTCAGCGGATACTATGCCTTCTCTCCACGGATACAAACTATCCGAGGCGTGATTCTGAGCATTCATCTCCATCAACCACCGAGGTTAGGAATGTCTGGTGTTGCACCCCCACTCCTCGTTGTGTCTTCATGGTGTGATGCTTAATTAAGCACATGAAGATCTTAATTTTTACTGAAAAATTAAGCTCCATATTTATACCAGTGTAACTCGCAATGCTTTGTACTATTCAGTCCAGAACCTTTTGTCGTCTCATCTGCTGTCTAAAACACAAAAATTAGAATATATAAAACTATAATTCTGCCTGTGGTTCTATATTGGTGTGAAACCTGGTCTCTGACATTAAGGGAGGAACATAGGCTGACAGTGTTTGAGAACAGGGTGTTGAGGAGAATATCTGGACTGAAGAGGGATGAAGTGACGGGAGGTTGGAGAAAACTGCATAATGAGGAGCTTCATAACTTGTACTCTGCTCCAAGTATAATTAGAATGGTCACGTCAAGGAGGATGAGATGGGCAGGGCATGTAACATGAATAGGGAGAGGAGGAATGCATATTGAATATTGGTGGAAAAGCCGGAAGGAAGGAGACCAGTGGGAAGACCAAGACGTAGGTGGGTGGACAATATTAAAATGGATCTTAGAGAGATAGGATGGGATGGTATGGATTGGATTGATCTGGCTGAGGATAGGGACCGGTGGAGAGCTCTTGTGAACACTGTAATGAACCTTCTGGTTCCATAAAATGGTGGGAAATTCTTGAGTAGCTGCAGAATTGGCGATCTCTCATTTACACTCGTAACGAATTGTCGTGGGTACCGTGATCTAATGATTAAGAAAAAGTCTGAACAGTGAACTACATTTCCTGTCTGTGTACGCGGAGTTTTTACACGTGTTCTTTGTCCTGTGACAGTCTGAAATCCCCAGACTGTCCCCAAAACCTTTGATCATCACGATAACATTCAGGACTAAATTGAAATCCTAATCCTTATTGCTACCGAGTTGCTCAAAGTTTTGGCAACAAGACGGAGAATCCAAAAGGCCAATGTGCAAAGGAGACTATGTGAAATCTATGTATTACGGAACACACTGCCATATTTCCAATCTCGTTTAGATGAACTTTGAATACTAACACTTCCTGCTATCAGGCGATAAACTTAAACACTTGAATCCGAACATCTGTTCATGAGTTTGTAGAGAGTTTACTTACTTTCTTCGTTGGTTATGTAATCGGCTCGTCCAGTATCGGGCCCGTGGAAGTGGGTTTCGGCCTTCGCAATAAGTTTCTCTATGTTCATGCCTCGCTCTCTGCACGCAACCTCCACAGCTGAAGCATTTCACAATTTGCAATCATTAAATGAACAAATAAAGGCATGCAGTCCATTACCTCTGTAAACCAAGTTATGCCATATATTGTACAAGCAAGCTTGAAGAACGAGGGTCCATTGTAAGTACGCTTGAATTTCCCACCGGCGTATGAGTGCCTCAGGTATATTGAAAATAAAATCTAGAATCTGGGATAGAACGCCTTGTAATCCTTTGAAACTCAAACCGACGTTTCAGAGGAATATGTCGCCTCCATTATGTTTACTTTGCTTTATAACCTGCATCTTCCTTCGAAACGTCAGTTTATTTTGAAAAGACTACTCGGCATTATATTCTAGAAGATACATCTCTTCATAACTAACGCTCTGAGGACCTCAAGTCCTGCAGAAATCAGTAACTTTCTCATAATGATGCAACAGTGTAAGTCACTAACTGACGTTTCGGAAGAAATCAGCTGGAGCTACTACAATGGACTCATTTGTGACCACAGTGTCAAGTGATTCAGTTTGACTCCACTCCTACAACTACTAAAGCCAGAATATTTTCTATACTAACCTCTAGTAAAATACGAATAATATTGTTATAGGATGTGAGATAATTGTTTCGTATCATTAACAGGCACACAGCCCCATTTGACATCCTCGTTTTCTTGTATCTGTACACTCTTCTCAACGGTTTACTGTCTTGAAGGCGGAGGTAGAATGTTCCTCCGAAACGTTGGTAAGTTTCTAACTAGACTAAGCGGCCTTACATCCCGCAAGACAGCCATTTTCATGAAGTTTCTAAAGGGTTCTGACTATCGTGTATAACAGCGGCCTCCGTAAGCCGTGGGTCCTGTGTCGTAGATTTACGGCACGTAAAAGATCCTCATGTGTCTAGGAGACCTCTGAGCAAAATTAGGCAAAGTTTCCCGCCCAAGTAGTTTCCAATGCCTCCGGTAGATGGGGAAGCATCGGGTGCCAGAATGGGGCTGATAGCGAGCACCAGTACTGGTAGGGTGTGGCGACAGTATAAATTAAAGGGGCACGTACAATAGACTACTAGTCGCGGTGCATGGGAAAACCCACCCCCTCCAAAGATAATAATAATAATAATAATCGTGTATAACACTCAGGATTACTGGGTTTTGGGGCTTTGTCCATCGTTCTGGTACACGTTTCGGAAACAGAATATGTTTCCTTCCTCAGATGAGAGGTGAGTCCGTTAAAAAGAGCTAAGCACAATCACTGAACTTGTGTTTTTTTAGAACACCAGATGATGGACAAAGCCCAAAAACCCAGTATTCGTGAGTAATTTTCATACACAAAGAACTAGAAATCTCATACATAAACAAAATAAGCACACAATAAGACAGCAATGAGCTTCGTTCTACGGAATTCGTGTACAAAGGATAATCGAATGAATAGGAAGTCCTGTGTAATTATTCAAGGACTTGTTTGTTAGTTTCACAGGGCGAGGGGGATAAATCAGCCTGAGCGTGAACCTGACCATTTTCTTCCCATCTAATGCCTATGTTACTATGAATGAAATTATAAAGAAAGCAGTCTTCTGGGATTTGGCACCGTGTATATGTGGTGTTAACCGACGTTTCGGAGGAACGTATCGCCTCCATCTTNGCGGTATCTCTGCATACTTCGAAAGGTTCACCTGACTTGCAGGTGCGAGATTTCGGAACCAGATTACTCGTATTTCTGTCTCGTTTAGACTGCGACTGTTTTGAAACCATTTTCCCGAAAATTGATCTTGAGGGACACAGTACATAATGATGTGTGAATTGTCATCTAATTTCAGTAATGTGACGTGTAATCCCGTTGACCATATAAATACAGTAGGCCAGAGTTCAACCCCGGGGTTGGTTCCTGGAGGTGCCGGCGTACATGGAAGCTGAATTATGATATATTTCAATGGGATGCTTTCTAGACATATAAAGATTGAGACACTTTCGTAAAATAATAAAAAAATATTTACATATGTATATATGTGTATATATATATTTAAATATAAATATTAGATACTGGGATTTTTATCATACGAGTATTTTGTGAAAATATATAAATACGTACTTAGGTTTTATTGACGAGAGAAGTGTTACAGTGGAAAAAGGCCTTATTTAAAGCCCTAAACATTGTACGACATGACTGCCCAACCGCATCTCTCACCTAGTTACTTCCATGTTTTCTTCTATGCTACAGAATTGCTTTGTCTTTCAGTTTCACGTTCATTGGCAGTTACCCTTCCATTCTTACAACAAGACATTGTTCCAATTTTATTTTACTTTAAAGCATGAACTTATGAAAAATATTAAGGTGCAGGGGCACACAGTAACGCAGTTGGTTGAGGAACTATACTACAAGCCGGAAGGTCGCGGGTTCAAGTCCCGATGAGGTTATTGGATTTTTTTCTCAATTGACCTAATCCTTCCAGCCGCACCATGGCCCTGGGGTCGACTCAGCCTCTAACAGAAATGAGTACAAGAAATATTCTTGGAATGTTCTTGGAGGTAAAGCGCGGCCGGCGCGTAGGGCTGACAACCTTACCGCCATCTATTAGCCGATTGTCTAGAAAATGTGGGAGCCTCGACGTCTCACAACACTATGGGCCTCCACGGCTTGTTGCAGGGGTACCTTTACTTTTTACAGTATTAAAGTATACAATAAACAGCTATAATGTACACTGTATTGTATACAGAATGAGCCTACAGATTGTATAAACAAGTGCGGAGTTGCCATGAATGCATGCGCAGTAGCCCTGCGCAGGAAACTTTCTTGAGTGCTGCGACGCGACGTACAATTTTCCAGGATTTTTTTTTGCTTGGAAAATAAAGGAAATTACTAGGACCGCCTCTATGGTCTAGTGGTCAGAGTTCCTGGCTACAGATCCAGAAGTCCGGGTTCGATTTCCGATGCAACCAGATTTTCTGAGAATTAATGGGTCTGGAACGGGGTCCACTCAGCCTCGTGAGGATAACTGAGGAGCTACTTAAATGGAAAAGTAGCGGCTTCGGTCTAGAAAGGCGAAATTAACGGCCGTGGGGCTTCGTTGGCTGACCACGCGACAACTTATATCCGCTAAAGGTGGCACTAACTTCGCCGACAAGTGGCGGTCGCTCAGTCGGTATAGTTTGCTTACGGACTAAAACCACGGAGTATACTAAAAATTTTTCTAACCGACGGATACTAAAATCGTCGTATATGAAACTGTCGTGAACCAAATTAGCTGAAAAGCCTCTAAATAAAACTGAAGTCTCTAGAAGTGTTTAACATTTCTGGAAACCTATTATCAAAATTCGAATTCAATTGAACGTGTGGATTTCATGTTCAGTACTTTTGTTTTCAGGAGAGATTTCAGAATGGATTAAAGTAGACTCTATGACCTACTCACCGAAATCCGCCCTGTTATAATATTTCGGACATTTGAACCCCGACTCCTGGAACACTGCTGTCATGTCACTGATCGCCCCGCTGTACAGGCATTGTCCTTCAGCCAGGACGTAAAGGTCATCAAACATCTCGAAAAGTCGCGAGCTTGGCTGATGGATGCTGCACACTATTGTTCTTCCCCCGCGCACCAGGGACTTCAGGTGTGAAATCACTTGCAGAGACGAGGAGCTGTCCAACCCGCTGCAAGAAAACAAATGAATCTAATACGAACATCATAACATCGTCAAAACAATTGTTTTAAGGGCACACGTAAAGTGAAAGGGTATGGAATTAGGGAGAGCCGGAAGCGGCCTCCGTAATCCAGAGGTAACGTTCCCACCTCATGACTCATAGTACGCGGGTTAAAATACCCGGCGGAGGTCGTCGAATTTTTAAGGGCGGAAAAATTCAGGAAACAAGTCCTCCGGGAGGGACTTTAAGCTGTGTGTCCCGTGTCGTAGCTTTACGGCACGTAAAAGAACCTCATATCCCCAAAGGGGATCACTGAGCCAAATTCCAGGACGTTTCCCGCCCAACAATAGTCTCTAAGGCCTCTGATAGATGGGGGAANAGAGCCGGGATAGCTCAGTCGGTATAGAGACTGGCTGCGGGCTGGACGACCGAGGGGTTGGAATTCGAGTTCTCTTCTCCATATCGTCCAGGCCGGCTCTGGGGTCCACCCATATTCCTCTCCAAAGGGTAATGGGGGCTTTTTCACCGGGGCTAAAGCGGCAGGGGCGTGAAGCTGGCAAACCACCTCCAGCTAGTGCCGAGGTCAAGAAAACGTGGATCTATACATCCATTCTTCCATGCGCCTTCATGGCGTAGTGTTTAATTAGTTAAGTACAGGGACCACTTTTACCTTTACCTTTGTGGAGGTAGGGATCCACGAATTCTAGGTCCAGATATCTCCCCTACGTACAAGAATGACGCCTTAACGGGATTTCATACTTGGCTTGAACCAAATAAAGATCGAAAACACCATGATGTGTCCTCTGCTTCTTTATAACTCATTTCTTTGCTGTGTACTAAATATTGTTACGATGATCAGATAAACGAGGATTACATGAGAGGGACATGTAGAAGGTATAGGCGAGAAGAACATTGCATCCAAATTTTAGCACGGAAGTCTGATGGAAAGCACTTGGTAGACCTAGACATACAGTAAAACTTGGTTATAGCAACATCGGTTTCTGCGACACCTTGTCTATTGCGTCAAATATTCAATGGTACGAACTAATTCCTCATAAAGCAACTGTTTTTATACCTTGCTTAGTACGACATGCACAAATGCATCAACCTCGTATGTAACGTCATTTTCATTCCTGAATTTCTCTGATATCGTGGGAAAGTTCGATGTGTCTGCCCACCCTCAC